CGTACCACACTGGCCTTGTAATGGTAGGGAGGATATTCAACGTAAATTGATTTAGATCTCAAATAATATGTGATATTTATTTTCTTTCCCCCTAAATCCTAATACCTTCCCAGATACCTTTCTCTGATTCACACACATGATGAATGAATTCTCAGTTTTAAATGAGTTGGAATGATGTGTCAAGGAGTTCCACCCATCAAAGATTTTACTTTGGAAAACCATCCCTTTGTTACAGAAAAGTGGGAGTTTTCCCTTTATGTCTGCAAGCAATCCAAACAAAAGCCAATTTATAAATGAACTGTGTTTTGACATCATTTATTCTTAGCACACCTCTTTCCATATTTAGTTGCATGCCTGTACCAGTGTGAGAAAATTCTTCTCTTTCCCCCCCCCCCCGATTTTAACTGGGAAATTATGAAATATCTTAAATAATAGAAATCTTCTTGTAAATAATGAGCTGCAGTCTAGCTAAGCATTCCTCAGTCCCCTATAAGTGATGGACTACTGTCACTCTAGCTCAATCTTCTCCATTCCAGAAGTTTTAAGATGTGTTGTCTATACTAACTTGCAGTGCAATACATTTTAAGGGCATTTGGTTTGGGAGAGGCTGATCTTGCTAACAGTCCAAAAAAAGTTGATAAATTCCTTTGTCATCTTTTGCAATGATAATGGGTTGGGAAGTAGGTCAAGCAGTGGTGAAACATAATATAGCTGTGTGATGAAAAATGTAGAAGACCAGTGCCTTCTGAAATAATTGCATTGCACCCAACTGAGTGTAGAGGAGGTAGAGAAGCCTTCTAGTGTCATTCAATTCAGCCAGAGTACATCACTGATTATTCTGTGTCACGGCTTTGATTAATAATGGATGTGAGGTCAGTAGAGTTACGCTCATTTTCAACGTGAATGAAGCAGCTCAGACATGCTGCAGAAACAGACCAATTTCTCATAAGCAGTTCTAGCTGGACCTACAAGTAAAACCACTTCCACTCCAAAGGAGAGGAACATGCTATTACAATCTAAGCCTAGGTCTTACATAATACATTTCTGTTCTTCTACATGATTCAGTGTTTCAGCATTACTAGAACATGAGTGGATGTACTCATAGGATTCAGCTCTGGGCCTGGAGGCCCAGGTTTCAGCAGAAGTGCTTTTGTACACTTAAAGCTAGCCAACTGAAGAAGCTGAAGTCTCCATTCCTGGAGAAGTTAGATCTGGCCATGGTGGTACATGCCTTGGTTACATCCCATTTGGATTACAGTAAAATGCTCTACCTGGGGCGGCCTTTGAAAAGTGCTCAGAAACTTCAGTTCACCCTAGGAGCTGCTGTCAGGCTTTTAAATGGGGCTGGCTACAAGGAGAAAACAACTCCCTTTTTGCAACAGCTCCATTGGAAGCCAGTCTGTTTCCAGACAAAATTCAAAGTGCTGGTTTTGACCTATAAAGTTCTATAAGGTATGGGCCCAGATTATTTGAAGGGCTGTATATCTCTTTATGAGCCCACTAGAGCATTGAGATCATCTGGAGAGAGCCCTCTCTCTGCCCCACCAATCTATCAAGCTCATTTTCTGAGAACAAGAGAGTGTGTGTTCTTAGTGGCTTTTCCTAGGTTCTGGAACTCCTTCTCTACAGAGGCCAGGATGGCCCCATCCCTGCTCTCCTTTTTGTGGCAGATAAAAACATTTTTGTGCTGTCAGGCTTTTTAAATTGATGAGTATTGCACTTTAAAATGCTGTGCAAATCAGATGCCTGAGTTGTATATAATTTTAGTACTATTTAATATTTTTAATGCAGAATTGTTTTAACTTTTTAAATTGTTTAATTGTTTTAACTTGATGATGATGATGATGATGATGATAGGAAAGTGGCAATTTTGTTGCACCAGTAGTTTACGAAGAGAGAGGAAAGGAGGTAGGCACAACAAACCAGAGCAATTAAAACCAGAGTACAATCACAAAATATTTTAACATGATTTAACTAATTATAAAAACCTCAAAGTATTTGGTTACTATTTCAGTTACAAGAAATATCTAGTACATTGTTACTGCTTTTAAATAATTAGTTATTTATCTGGAGGAAATGTTAAGACTGATAACACCATACAGCCTAAAAATGTTCCACCCATTTTAAAATGCCCTTTTAAAGTAACTCAAAGTTGCTGATTGTTGCACATGCACAGTTAATGCTCTTCCCGCTCACTACATTACTTTTGAAATTTAACTTTGTTCTGCCCATTGAAACATTGTCATTTATTAATAATAATAATAATATAGTTTATTTGTATACCGCCCCAGTGGAAAACCAATCTAGGCAGTGAACAATAAAATTGTAGATTACAAACGAGTTAAAACAACAACATCCCTCCTCCCCCCCTTAAAAAGTTATTAAATCAAATACAATTAAAACAACTGCAACTAAGCAGTAATTAATCTAAAACCCAACATAATAACAGCTACAACAATCAACACACACCGCAGCAACAAAGCAACAGTCTAACAAAGCAACAGTCCCCTGCGGATCTACTTGAGGGAATTACAATGAGTCCAATACCCGACTTCAGAGGGTCGTGGCCAGCTATCTAATCCGGAAAGGCCTGCCGGAAGAGATCCGTCTTGACAGCCTTTTTAAAGCTGTGTAAGGATGTTAATTGACGGATCTCATCTGGCAGGCCGTTCCAGAGTCTGGGAGCGACGATAGAAAAAGCCCTCTGGCTTATTCAGATTTCAGAGTTTATAACTAAATTCCCACTGGTCCATGCACCTGTCAGATGATCTTGGGGGGATTGTGATTCACTCTTCTCAGCCCAACATGCCTGCAACAGAATGGTCTCTTTCTTTTTCTGTTTTCTTCTCTTGCCCTCCATGAACTCAAAATCCTGCTCTGGAGGATATCCATTGATGGGCAGCTACCTGGTCTATTGAATTTTTATCACATTCTAAACCAGAGTAGGCAACTATGCCATGGTTGGAGGCCATTTCCTCTCTGCATTGCCAGTAAGCCTCACTACTGCACAAAATCAAAACTGGTAGTGACATAACATCTGGTTCTGCTTTGGGCTCTTTTTTAGTCTGCCGTCATTTCTGTGGCCAGGATATCCATACAGGAGCTGTGGTGGTTTTCAGTGTTTTGCCCCATTTTTTTATTTTTAAATTTGCCTGAAATTTCACAGAAGGGGGAAGGGAGGCTTGGGTCTGTCCTAGGAGACTTGGGAGGTGTGGAGAGGAAAACAATGGAAGGACTGTATGCAACCCAGAGGCTGTGTATTCCCCATCCCTGTTCTAAGTGTAAAATTTCTTGAATCCGAAGACATGACACTTTGATGCATGTAGACTGTTGTTATAGCTTTTGGGGATATTAAATTACCTTATTATTTTTTAAAACATCCTTATATAAAAGGTCTTCCCCAGCCCTTCAAGGATGGTTTTTATCCTCCCTGGAGATCTACTGACCTAGTGAAATAATCTGATACATTATTCAGATCTGTCTTTCTTGTCATTCTTCAGAGGAAAGCCCTTTCCACTTCAAGCACATACATTCTGCTGGGCAAACTATTGGCTGCATCTTTGTGTGCTTCCTGTTGGCAGTCTACTGCTGAGCCATTGATAAAGGAAAATGAAATGAGAAGACCAAACAAAGGAGGGATGACATATTTGCGTATTTTCAGTGCTGTCAAGAGTGGACATTTTAAGGATTGAAAGCTTTTCTTGATTTCCCCCTACCTGGTATCAGTTTGAGGCTGCTCTGTGTTTGTAGTTTATTTTTCATGTTTATGTGAGATTGATTTGAGCCATTCAGTTTGTACTTGAAAGGATCTTCAAAGGCTGACATCTGCTCTGAAGTTTGGACTTAAGGCTATTTTTGTAGTATCATGGTGTGCTCCAGTGGATTATCTGCATCCAACTGTGGGCTAACATTTCTAGCAGCCATGTTGTGTTGAAAGGTTTACAGGGAGTCCATCTTAATCCAACTTTTTTGCAGTTTTCTCATAAGCAAAAAAGAATGGAAAAAAGGAGAATGGGAAAGGGAAAAAAGCACTGTAAAATTGTAAAGCCTTTGTACTTTCGTTACTCCATGCTGTTTTTGTAAAACAAAGAACTCCAGGCACAGAATGTGCCTAGCTTATTAAAAAGAAAAGACTTGGTGTAAATATAAGCAATTCAAAGAATAATTACTTCGGAAGTGTGATTTTCTGTAAATTAGGTGGCACACATTTTAAATTTATGTTTAGTGCCAATTTTCACAGATGGAATGATTTAGAGGGAAGCCATTTCACACTGCAGGATCTAGGACTAAATACTTCCATCACTCAGAGCAAGGCAGTCACTTCTAATGGCAAGTGCTAGGGGATGTGGTGGGGCAGCATTGGACACCTCCTTCACTATCCATTACTCCTGAGCTTCCCAGCCAAAGGTACAGACCTGTTTGTGTAACTTGTGGATTGGTCTGCACCCTATAAATTAAAGTACAGTGGAAATAAGTTCACCTGCCAATTTGAGGCTAGTGTTTTGGACTACAGGACCTGCAATTTTATTTTCACTGGTCATGTTTGAAAGCAGCTGGAAAGAGCTATAGCCCAGATATAACTGGAGGGCCAAAGGTTCCCCACCTCTGCTTTAAGGTGCCACAGGACTATTAGAAAGGAAGAGAAAATCCGTGTGGAGACTTTTTGGAGAAAAGTCTACAAGTGAACAGAAGCTTTCAGAAATCCTGAAAAGCATATGAAAAATCAGTGCATCAAGGATCTCAAAAGGCCTCAGATGTCAACATCATGCAAAGCTATGTGCATTTCTTATACCTGTACAGAAAATGTCAGATAGCATACAGTGAAGTAACAAAATCTGTTATCCTAACATTGCATTTCTGTTTTACTCCAGATTAGGTGCAGAATTACATAGGCTGTACAGTAAGATGATTAAAACATTCAGACCAAATTAGGAATTTTCCTCCTGAAGTGATAACATGCCATGAGCAGGGCATACAATAAATGATAACATGCCGTGACAGCAAGAGTAGTGTAGTGGTTTGAGTGTTAGACTGTGACTCTGACAGACCAGGGTTCGAATCCCAGCTCAGCCATAGAAATTCACTGGCTGACCCTGGGCAAGTCACACTCTTTCAGCCTCAGAGGAAGGGAATGGCAAACTCCCTCTGAAGAAATTTGCCAAGAAAACCCCATGATAGCAAAGCAAAAGCAAAGCAGCTTCATTTATATATCGCTTCATATCGCACTATGGGATGTCTAAGTGGTTTCCAACTGTAAGCTCATTGCCCCCCAACAGTTGGGTACTCATTTTAGCAACCTCGGAAGGATGCAGGCCTGGGTCTAGCCTGAGCCCTGGCTAGTATTGAACTCGCAACCTTGTGGTCTATGAATGAGTGGCTGCAGTACAGGCATTTAACCACTGTGCCACCAGGGCTCCTTGATAGGTTCACCTTAGGGTTGCCATGGGTCAGAAACTACTTGAAGGCACACAACAACAACAACAACATGAGGGGGGGGGATTTGATGTTAAGGAAGCATTCCATCTTGTGATCTCCCATCTCCATATTCAAGTCCCAGGAGGGCTATGGCACATGTTCTCTTTGCAATGTGTGAAAGAGGAGTAGTTCTCTCAAGCAATTGAATAATTGGCAAGGCAAAAGCTGAACAAGTCCCACGCCCATGCCCTCATGCAAACAATGTTTAGAAGGGTAACAAAACAAGCTTAATCTCTTTTGTAAAACATAAAAATAGCTTTACTTACAATTACTTGCACATAATCAAATATATGCAGCTGGTCCTCTAATGGAGGAGAAAGAGGAAAGGGAAAGATGGCTCCACCTTAGAGTGATGCAGGATGACAGTGTTAACAGCAAATAGACAGAAGTTACCATAAATACATGCTGTGCCTAAACACCTATAGATTAACATGCACATTTGCAATTGATGAGTATAATGGTTGCTGCTAACACTAAAATGTTCTAAAGTGACTATATCATATTGTTTCTTAATGTGAAACCCATCTCTAGGTTTTGAGATACCCTATGTGCTGTTTTTAAATGAAGGCTCAGGTCGAATGCTGGAAGCTCTCTCCCTGTATCAGATACCTTTTTTTTTTTTAACTTGGTAGACCCACCCAGAGTAGATCTATTATGTCACTTATGGGATTCACCTTCTTTTAAAACAAAATTGTATGTCTAGGAGCTCACTTTAACATAAAAACATGAACTTAGATCCTACATCACAGTCTACATTTTGTAACATTATGACTGTAATTATAGAGATTATCACTCACCTCTTTTTGGCCGGTCCAAGTATGAGCTGGGCACAGGCTTAAACTGGTCAAAATGGATTTTAATGGACAATTCAGATGCATCACATACCCGATCTAGACTCCTAGCATACTTTGCAAAGAACGGGAAAGTATTAATCTTTGCAAAGTCCGCCAGGAGCCTGCCAGGAGTCCAGATCAGGTATGTGATGCATCTGAGTTGGACATGGAGGTGTGCAATAAGATCCATTTTGACCAGTTTAAGCCCATGCCCAGATTGGCCAAAAAGAGGTATGCGATAATCCCCTATGTCACAGAAATGTGATGACACCTTGTTAGTGAATTGCAAAGATTGCATATCTGGGCACTAGCAAGAATGCTCCAGGCTGATCTCAGGTAAAACCAGAAGAGACCAGATAACACCTATTCTAAAATCGCTTCACTGCCTGCCTATCAGTTTCCAGGCACAGTACAAGGTGTTGGTTATTACCTTTAAAGCCCTAAATGGCTTGGATCCAACCTATTTTCGGGACCACCTCCTACTGTACAATCCAGCCCACACACTCAGGTCCTCTGGGAAAAATTTACTGCAACCTATAAAAACTAGCTTATCTGCAACTGCCCAGAGGACCTTTTCAGCTATCGCTCCCAGACTTTGGAGCAGCCTGCCGGATGAGATCCGTCACTTGACCACCCTAAACAGCTTTTAAAAAGCTGTTTAGGGTGGATCTCTTTCAGCAGGCCTTTCCTGAATAGGTAACTGGCCACCAAAAATAGTTATGCCTGTCCTTGATTTTTATTGTAGCTGTTTAAATTATTTGTTTTTGTAATTTTAAAGTATGTTTTTATATTCTGTCTGTTTAATTGTATTTTTGGGGGGTGGGCTACTGGGGGATGGGATTGTTTGTTTTATCTTATAAGCCACCTCGGTTGTATTTTACAGAGACGGGATATAAATTATTATCATTATATTATTATTATTATTATTATTATTATTATTATTATTATTATTATTATTATTTGCATCATGCACTTCTCATGTGCCTTGGGCATTTCTGATGCACATCTGAGGTTCTTGTTGTGCTCCAGTGCTTCCTAGGCAGTGTCTGGATGCACATCAGGGAGTGCTCCAAAGCCCATTGGTTTCCATTGTGCATTGGGCCATGACATATCAATCTCTCCACCATTGCACAACAGATGCCTGTATGCTGTTGTGTCACAGCAGGGGAATACAGATATTGTGAAATTATTCCATTCAGTTTTGTGTACATATAAGGCCATTTATGGAGACATAAGTCCCCCCAAAATGCCAGCTGTTGTAAGCTGTTCCCGCAAGTCTTGTGTTAAAGTAAACTTCTGGAGAAGAGTACCAGCAGGGCAATGGCAAATCCAGCAATGTGCAAAACTTGCAGAAGTGGGCAGAACCCATTTTGAACTCAAGCTAATAATTAAGCAAAAGCCAACACAGCTGATAAAAGACATGTGTAAGATGATCAAATCACCCACCACTAGTTAAGCTTCCTGTCAGCCTAATTGGGACCAACTGCAATACCTGAGCCAAGGGGATCCCAGCTCCACCTTTTTGTGGCAGTTTGGGTGAGTGAGGCTTTTAAAATATATATTTGTACTAGAAATTAGGGATAAAAAACACTGAGAACACTGGAACTTTAGGAGTCCACTTACAGACCTAAGTATTGTTGTCATAGACCACTTAAAATATATATTTGTTGTATAACTTAGTATTATTGTGGCCACCTATAAACCTAGGCAATGTTGTGACTGTTCTTGACTTTCAATGTATAAAATGAATTCTCAATTCAGTTGCAACTTTAATTATCTTTATAGCAAATAGAGGGTTTATCCCAGACAGTATCTGGCCAACGCATCACAGGTAAGGGCC